ATAATAAACTTTAGTAGAATGTTTGTTGTACATCAACATTGACAAATTCTTTTACAGATTGATGGGTGTCAATAAATTAAATTAAAATTGTCAAAATTTCTTCATCACTTAAACGATCGTGCTTATGTAATATGAGATAATGACAAAAAGAAAGTGAGATTTTTTTTATTTGAATTGTGAGATTTTGACTGAGTCGGATCTTGTCACATCATCTGTTAATAAACAAATGTGTAAGTTATGATATACATATAGCGCAACCATAAACTTTAATACTTGAATTAAACAATACGTGTAGAAGTTAGCAACTTCAAGGAAGACAAGCTCTTTTTCATATTATTGTTTTAAGCAAGCAAGCAATGCCCTTTATGGTGATGGCAGATGTCCAACTAAATTACATATATTGAGGGAAGTTTGGCCCGAGGACAGATTTAAGGAGCTTTCACCTCGTTATTGCCTCAACCCTTTCAGAAGAGTTCTTGGCATATTGGTAAGTACTGTTTGACCAATCTTATTTAGGAAAAAATAAATCAATTTAGGAAACGTAAAAAGCACCGAATTCAAGTGAAATCTAAGGTATTGTGTGGTGTAATTTGACGGTCGTGCTAACTATTGTGAGTAGGGCAATTGGAATAAATGGTTGACGTACTTCGTTAAGATGAAATATCTCCGTTTGTCAAAAATTTGACAGCATGTATCATAATTTTTTTTTTTTTTTTAACACAGTCAAAAAACTTCTTCAGCTGTGTTACTCCTTATTTCGAAAACTACTATTATTATTACAAGTCAATATATACCAAGATGTAATATTTCAATTGTTGTCACCTTTTCTCGATCGAGTTGATAATTGCATCCTATTTTAGTTGGAAAAAATTGAATATTTAGTCCATCTTTGAACATCATTTTTTAAAAGTTCATTTTTTCCCTAAAATTCATTTTAAGCAACACGTTTTTCCAGTAAAATAATTTCGCTGATAAACTCAAAGTTTTCTTATTAAAATTGGGGTACAAACAAACCTTTAATTTTGTTGAAGTGCCATCTACCCAAATCTTCGTGTACATCCCCAACCGCAATGCGGGAAATTGTGACAGATCGAGAATATCAAGTCAGGATCAAAATTTACTTAATTTTCCTGTTGAATTAATTATGGTAATGTTTCCTTGTTTATTTACTTAGTTTTTATTAATTTATTGTTGTGTGTGGCAGTGGCCATCTCAAGTTTTTGTTAATAAAGAGTGTCGAGAAGAATTGAGGCGGACCGGCGTTGGCATTTTCAAAATCTTTTTCCTGTTTGTTCATCGTTGTTTTAAAATCCCTTTTTTTTTTTTTTTTTATTAAACTCATTTTCAACCGCACTTCAATCCTAGCTAATTCATTAATCACCGTCAATAACGTGTGACATTGGACATCTGAGGTTTATTTTAGGAAAAATTGCAGCAGCAATCCCTAAACCTTTTCTTTTTTTGCAGACTTTGACCTAACCTTCATTTTCTGCTAATGAAGGTTCCAACCTTTCATAAATATGTATCTGAGATCCACCTGGATGGAAACCGTCCAAAATACCGTTAATTGACTGAGGAAATTCCTTGAACTATCTATTACTGTGACGTTTTTATTCGATGTTGATACCTTTTTGGACGGTATTTTTGGATGGTATTTTGGACAATTTTATTGGATGTTGATTTCTTAATTTTCCCAGTCAACGGACGGTGTTTCGGACAATTTCCGTCCAAATGGATCTCAGATATATATTTATGAAAGGTTGGGACTTTCGCTGGCACAAAACGAAGGTTAGGGCGAAGTCTATAAAAAACAAAAAGATTAAGGATCGCTGCTGCAAATTTCCCCTTTATTTTATATTGAACACAATATTTAGTTATATTATAAACTAGGGTCACATAGAAAATTAGAGTTCAAGCTTCGCCATCATTCTATGCATAAAAGTTGAGGTCAAATACTGAATCAGGTGTGCATATGAGTACTGTGTTATGTTGGGTTTTTTTTTAAAAAAATCCAAATTAAGTTTGATTTTTGAGAAAATATTTTTTCCTTCTTTTCACGTATTTTTATTGAAAAAATATTGTTTATTTATTCCATGTGACTTGTCATCTCTTTTTCCCCATCTTTGCGGTGTTTTTAGGGTTTGACATGCACCCTAATAAATATTAGATTCTTTTCACAAGTTTTATAATACTGAAACGTAGAATAATTGTGTGGGTACAGTTATTGTATTTGTCTCTGTTCCTCTGCTAATTAATTTTTTGCAATTTATATTGTTATTTGTTTGCGATCATATACTTCATATTGTATCGTACATATTATATTGATCCATTTTTTCCCAACAAGTGGTTTCAGAACTATTGATTGTGATTTGTTTGAGGTTTTTGTTATTGATGGCAATCATAATGTAAGAAATTTAGCTCTTGAATTGCAATATAAAATTTTCGTTATGGTAAGTAAAGATGCAAGTTGTATTTGCGTAGATGGATTTAGATGACGCGTCGTTGAAATTTGACAAAATGCCCACAACTTGTACGTTGGAGGAGAAATAACGAAAGGATTGGAAGGCACTTTCACATATTCATCTTCATCTTTATCTTTTTAACAATATTTTTCAGGATATTTTGAAAGAAAAATGACAACTGCATTATGGTTGAAGTTGGAGCAATTGTGCATGGCAAAAGTCTGACAAGTAAGTTGCATCTGATGTAGATGTTGTATTCTCATTGTATGATAAAGGTGAATTTTTGGAAGATCATTTGGCTATATTCGAGGAGATCATCACTAATTTGGAGACTTTGGAGGTAAAGTATGATAAAGAAAATTTGACTTTAATACTTTTTTATTCGTCCCCGCTTTGTTTACTTCGTTTACATACACGATCTTATATAATCATGATACTCTTATCATTGAAGATACATCTAATGCCTTGTTTTTAAAAAGAAAAGATGAAGCATCTGGTTGGATCGGAGAACAGGAATGGAGAAGGCCTTGTTGTTCATGGTAATTGGAAAATGGGCAAGTCAAGGTCAAATTTCGATAATCATATTTGTTATTATTATAAGAAGAAATGACACATTAAGGGAGATTGCGACAGATTGCGGAAAAAGGTAAATTGACTACAAATTATGGAAAGCAATCAAATACTTCGGACGAGATTACTATAGTAGAGAACCATTTGAATGATGGAGATGTTTTGACGATTTTTGACATAGAATTCAAACCTGACAAGGAGTAAATTTTGGATACAGCTTGTGTATTCCATATATATCCCGATCAAGATTTGTTCGAAACATATGAAATGGTGACGCTAGGTGTCATTATCATGGATAACAATAAACGTTGTCGGGTAGTTGGTATTGATAGATTCAGATTGAATATGGTAGATGGAATATGTAGAACTCTAATCATATTCGATATATTCCAGAATTGAAAAAGAATCTCATTTCCTTGAATACCTTTGATTCAAAAGGGTACACGTTTTTTGGAGAAGATGGAGTTTTGACGGTTTGGAATGATGTTCATGTTGTATTGAGGGGCAAAATAAGTCTCAATTATATATCTTGCAAGGTCGAGCATAATTTGTGAAGAAACTCAGCACAGATTTAGTACTGTGGTGGAGATTTAGTTTGGTACTATACTTTTGAGATTTGGTTCGGGGTCCATATTGAAGAATACTATCCAGTCTAGTTNTACTGTGGTGGAGATTTAGTTTGGTACTATACTTTTGAGATTTGGTTCGGGGTCCATATTGAAGAATACTATCCAGTCTAGTTTGGAGGATATGTGTAATTCTGTTTTGCCACCATTATTTCGGTTCCACCGTATTCAACTACTAGGAATTGAACCATTGGAGATAGGTATGTGGAAGCTTATTCGGTTGCACATGCTTTTAGCATTTTTGAAAGTATTGAGACTAGCCAGGGCCATCTATGAAAGCATTGGTAGTTGATTTTGTTGTAGAGTGTGTTTTGACATTGTTTGATAATTTCTATTTCTTTTGAAGAGGAGAATTTTTGTGTTGGAGAAAATTTTATTTTTATTGAAAAGTTTGAATTAACGTTGAAGTTGGATTGATTTTTCCGGTGGAGAAATTTTGCAGCTTTGTTCATTGCATCATAATTTATATCAATGTGGATATTGTTGGTTTGACATGCACCTCTATAAATATTAGACCCATTTCACAAGTTTTGTATCACTGAAATATAGGATAAGTGTGTGGCATAATTATCGTATTTATTTCTTCCATATTGGTCAATTAAATAGAACACTCAATTCATCTGCCAATTAATTCTTTATATCGGGCTATATATATTACATTGATATTATATTTCCGCCAAGTGCTGAAAATATAATTTAAATGAAGGTTATTTTTGGTGCACATAGGGGTAGATAAGGGTGTCATAATGGACACTTAGCGCCCCCTCCCCTCCTACACATCGTATACGCCTCTCCAATAGGGAGGTGTCGAGTGTGCATTATGGACACCCTTATGTATTGGATGATGTATGCTAAGAATAATCATTTAAATGAATATACATAACCCGTAACTAATACTTTATAGAAAAAAAAAAGTTCATATAACTGTCATTTGTTGTGTTATACCACTTGCATGCTTTGTTTGAGGGCAGTGCGATATACTTTAGAAAGTTGAAATTTGATTCCAAGATTAATAAACTAATTTTGATCATATTCATGTGTTTTTATGAAAAGTAATTTGTTTAATAAAAAGAGTTTATAAAGAAAGCTAACTCAAAATAATTTTCTCATAAATCTCTTTTACAAGAAGTAGAAGGAAAAATATAAATCATGTTAAATGGACCCTAAATAATCTCACTCTCAAGAAAAAAGAAGAGGGAAAATTATCTCGAAACTTGGGTTTAAAAATAATTTTCATAAATAAGAGGGATTAAGTTTAATTCCATAATTCAGGTGATAATTAGAAATTATTAAATAAATATATTCCTAATAATTCAACCTACACCCTTGACCCTAACACACAACACCCAAACTCTCTCTCTCTCTCTCACATTTTTGGATAGACGTTTATGTTACTTTCATTTTTCTCTGATTCGTCAATCCATATACATAAACCACCCTCTAACGAACGGAGATTTTCATCTTTCCAAGGAAGAAGACCGTGAGAAAAAAATTCTGGTCAAGGTGAGCTACTGTTATTTTTAATGATGATATTACACTTGCGTTGTGGATTGGGGTTTTATAAAGCTTGATTTCGCAATTGGTGCATGCTTGAGGAAAATCTAGGGTTAAGTTTGTTCTATTTGTTTAGACTGATGTCGATTTTGTTAATTATATGTGCTTAGGGTTTGAATTCTAGGTATAGGTTTTGTTTTGGCTTTTCGATTTGATCATTTTTTCTTGCAGTTCGTGCTTCCTTGATGGATTGTCACGATTGTGTTAGAATTACGGTGTTATGTCGAAATGCTAGGGTTTTAATGGGATATGATTGGTTGATTTCTTAACATCTTTTATGTGTTTCTTGATAATTAGTGTTCGGATGCGTTTATTGATTCAGTTATAATATGAGGTGGCAAGTAGGTTGAAATATAACTTAATTTAGGAATTTCAAACGAGCTGTGTAAGATCCTTTTCTTTGTGAAAGTTTGAGAATGTGATTCTAATGTAATTCTGTAATTAGGGTAGTGTGCAATGCGCATACGAAAGCAAACTGCTCGTAAGTCCATTGGAGGAAAGGCTCCCAAGAAGTAACTTGCTACTATGGTTCTCCATTGTTATTGATTTTTTTTTTTGCTTATGAATTCATCCATGTAATATATTTTTGTAATCAAGATAATTAAAAGCACCTATGATCTTTTTCCCCACAGCCCATAGAGGAGAAAAACTAAGCTATTTTTTGTAATGTTCCCATCACAAGATTGATTGGTTTAGCTGACAGGAGGGGTGTGTTACTACCAAAAAGCATTTTTGGTTTTACTTTTTTCTGTGTATTGCATATTTTTTCTATGTACTGCATATAGTTAGTTGAATCATTTCGAGTCTTTGAAAGTCATGTTCTTTTTATAGCCAACAAGATATAAAGAAATGAACGTGTGTTGAGTGTGCTAATTTCCTGATGGCAAGTATAGGGACAGAGCAAAAGTGGCTTTCAGGCACATGATTTCCCATCCTAACCTTGAATGCAAGTGCTTTTATCATATTGTATTCTTTCAGCTTGAGCTTTGCTTTAGACTTTGATTTTGATTGGGGACGAGAATGTTACAATAGTCATATGTTAGAATGTATTTGAATAANAGTTATGTAGTGTTCCCAAAAGAAGAAGAGGAGACATTAGTAAATAAATTAACATCATTTTGGTAGGCAAGCAAATAAATAAAATCGGTTTGTTAGGTATATGTTAAAACCATCAATCTAAAAATGTGGGCTAATAAATGATGGCAGATTCATTATCAATCAAGAGTTTAGATTACCCTAAAAGCTAATTTCCTATGCCCAAAACTATCATTATCATTCATCACTAATCTCTCCGCAGATGGACACCAATACTCATAATTTCAACAATCATTAATCAAAGACTATACTCCTTTCACATATTCTAAGTGCGTCCAAGTCAACTTTACTCCTTTTCCCGAAAATCTCGTTTTTATTATGCCTAGTTTGGTTCCGTTCTTTTCAAATTTTAATGATTGAAATAGTATTTTGATGAAAAACATGTGGTTGAAAAATAATGAAATTTTTTCGTTTGCGTGTAATATTATTTTATGAAAAATTGTGTTGTTGAAAATAAGAAAAAGAAAAAGAGAATGAGGGCAAAATGAGGGCTATATTATTATCTAACAGTGTTGAAGTTGACTTTACTCCTTTGTCCGGTTCGTTTCTATTATATTATCTAATTGTGTCGAAGTCGACAATCAATTTGAGTTACATTTGGAACCTATTATTAAAAAACACTTTGTAAAAGAACGAACACTTTTTTCTCTTTTTCATTTTATTGTTATCATTTGAGTTGACTTTTGACTTAGCTCGAGTTAAAATACCAAATAATTTGAGGACACAAATGACAAAAACTTGAAACTATATGTAATCATATTCAAATATGATAACGTTATGTTTAACGCATTGACACAATAAATGAAGTTTGAGATTTGAGTAGAGAAGTATTAGTTTGATTCCATAAATTCATGAGAAGTTTTAAACGTCGAAGTGTAATTTTTTAGAGATGGATTATTTCAGGTTATAAATCTCAGACTTCGTAATCATGACAAAGAATCTTTCTCGTACTTATTCCTATAGCAATACACTAAATGTTAGACTTTTGAGTTTGAGCTAGCCTAGCTAACACATTAGTGTCAAGCATTAAAGAAAAATCGAGTATCATGAAAATGCGTACTATGAACAAAATGTCCAATTGCACAAGAAACTATAACCTAGGACGAATTTCACACATCCTCGAGTTTTATTAACCATTGTTTGGTTCTTTTGAAAAGTAAATTTCTAGTATATGTTGAGAAAAATAATGAAATATATGATTATAAGTTGATAAAAATCTTGAATCTATCAAAATATGTACTTAAAATTAATTGATAACTTTAACTTACATTTTTATTTTAGTTAAACCAAAGGTGTTAATCTAACGTGACCTGGTCTACGTAAACCAGCAATAGGGTTAATTATTCGTCTCTTAGGACACTGATCGTTGGATGCTCCGAGAAAAGCTCACTAAGTCACTTCTTTTCAACTCCCAATAATGAGTCTCTCTTCCTCTCTCTAGAATGAACCAGTAGTGATAGAATGGTGTTGGTGGCTAGTGTACTCCAGTTGGTATAGTACGCACCACCCAACATCCTCCACTGTTTGGAAGGAGATCTATACTCCCCTGTCCCCCATCCACCTATACATACACTTTCATATTTATCGATCAATACACACATTTCTGTAATTACATGATCACTTCATTACTATAATTGGGGCCGGGTTTCGGATGGATCCGACGATAAATGATGGCGGAAGAGGAATGTACGGCTATGCGGAGACGTGGCCGGCGTTTGTTGATGCGACGTCGTATGGAAATGTGGGTATGGATCTAATGGTGACGGACCAGAGATCGAATCATAATTCGAGAAAGCGGCGCGACGAGGAAGAGTGTGTTAAAGGAGCTTCAAGTAGCAACAGCGATGGAAATACTAGCAATAATGCCTTGGTATTTTTATGACTGAAAAAATTCAATTTCCAATTTACAAATCTTATGCATATTGTGTAGATATACAAGCTTGCATCGGTTCCTTTACAATAGACGTTATTTATATTTATTCGTCTGACCAAAATAGACTTATTTGAAATTGGAATTTTTTAAAAAGAACGAATTCCCTAATGAAGTCTTCAGGCGAGAGATTCGGTATATTCTATAGTTACTTCTTTCGGATTGCTGGTAGTTTTAGTATGTAAATAATTAATTATGTTAACAATATGAGCTTGGACTTTATAGTAATTTTGATCTTTTGAATTCTCTATTCTCATATTCTTGTTAATTGCGCATGACCGTATAGGCGTATGTATTGGAAGGGACACAGAAGTGGATATGCGTGGGTATTTTTTTTATTTTTATTTTTTTTGTATGTTTTATCATGATGGAGTTGACCTCTTCTTATTTACTTATTGGTAATTTCTTTCATCATTGGTTTATGTGGCGTATGTATTTTTGGTGTTGTGCAGAATGAAGGAGGCAACAAAAGGTTAAAGACAGTGAGATCAAATGAGAATTGTGAAAATAAAGCAGAGGTAGAAGGGAATTCAGGCATGGAGGGAGAGATGCCTACAAAACTGGCTGAACCTCCAAAGCAAGACTACATCCATGTTCGTGCTAGAAGAGGTCAAGCCACTGATAGTCACAGTTTAGCTGAAAGAGTAATTTCCTTACTCCAATTATTTACAGTTTACTTTCAAGCTGTAATTTTCTGATATTCAACTGTAAGATAATTGCCAATTAAGTAAGTAATTATGTTATCATGATGGTATATTTATGATTGATGAATAAATAGTAGATCATGGAAATCTATGCCAAATGATTTTTCTTATTTTCCGCTTGGTTCAGGCAAGGAGAGAAAAAATAAATGATAGGATGAAAATTCTCCAAGATCTAGTCCCTGGCTGTAATAAAGTGAGTATTAATACTTCTCCCACTTTATTCTCCTTAAGTAACACTTATCATTTTGTTTGAAAGAAAATTTCTCTTGTGCTATCAGAGTTCTTATTTCCCTGTTTTTTTCTGTTCTATTAGTTATGGGAATATAATTAATCTCAACGATTTCCTTGTGGAATTCCTTGATGTGCCATATATTTATTTGAGAACACAAACCTACGGTTGGCCTCATTTTGATTTTATTTTGATAAAAATCTTCTACATCTACTTAGAATATCTGGCCCCAGTTTTTGTGATAATGACACGTTTACAGTTGACATTTTGAATTATTTAGACAGCCTGCCATTTTAGTGGGCCTTCTATGCTTTTTATTCACAGTGGAAAATGTTAGTGTGGGATCATGAAATGTATTTATTTTTGCACGGGCTCTTGCCCATATTGCCATTTTTTGGAGTTTCCCGCAATTTGTCCCAAGAGTCGTCTTATCACCACCTAAAGCAGGAGTAGGATTATTCGAAGATTAACTATTTATCCAAGACTTGTGCTTGCCGTCACCTTTAGTTTTAGGAATGAATAGTTGGGGACAGGAGAAATATAAATCAATTTAGCAAGGAGGTGGTTATGTGCATTATGAAGAGCGTTACCTCAAAATATCGTAAGATGAATGTATCAACAGATCCTAGCCATGTCCTTGTCCACCTTTTCCTAGACCTGCAAACAAGGAACCGTGATTTGAAAAGGTAGCTGTCCAAGAAGGTGGTTCTATCACTTGCTCTCTGACGGTCAAGTTAGTGATAGAAAGATAATACAAGTGCAAGAGAAACAAAATAAACAGTGATTGATCCAGGGGTTTGATTTCATACCCTTTTTCTTCTTGTTGCAAGGTTTATTTATATGAAAATTAGGTTAAGGGCAAATTGGACCTCTGTGGACCCCCTGTACACATGTGGCGTGCTGCTGGGTGAGGATTTTGGTTCTAGCACCTTCCATCCAAGTGTCATCTTTTCATCGGCGAGATTGTTATCAACCAATTGATTTTTGTTTGATTATGTTTTTGCACTTTTTAATGTTTGAGCCTACACAACAGTGGTCCTCTTGCCATGTGGCAACGGAATATTCTGCTATTCCTTTATTTGAGGCATTAGCATGAAGTCTTGTGTACTGTGCTTCAATAACTTCCTTTCAATTTTCTAAAAGGAAAATTGGTTCGCCACATGCCTTGTGCTTCGAGCCAAGGGTATGGCTAGTCTAGTTTATCTTAGACAGAAGGATAGCTCCCAGAGAGCCTTTCCTCTATTAGGCAAGCTGGGTTGTGAGCCTTGTTTTATTGTCGTAACTCTAGCGAGCCTTGTGAAGGTTCGCCGAACCTTTAGGAATTTTTATGGTGATGTGGGCATTTGTGACACATGGCCTTTGAGTCTAATGTGATTTGCACATGGCGTTCACGTGTGGCGAGGTAGTAACAAAGAGGGTAGTGTAGTTCCAATTAATATAACTCGTAATTGGCAGTGGCCAACTTTATAGAACTATAGAGTATAGCACATATACACGACACATATAAATCTACCTAAATGGTTCGTGTGGGATCGGAATTCTAATTCTTACTTCTGAAAGAACTAATTGCATTTTGTGCCATATAAAAAGTAAGTAATCTTCAACTCAAGCAATCATATCTTTTGAGAATGCTTAAAAAGATTGAAACTGACAACTCAAATGAAGGAGCTGACTCCTAGGCAGTAGAAATTTATGCCGATATAGACATTATAAATCTCGGTACATTCTCGTACAGTATCCTAAGATATTATATCACCTTGAGTTAATTTCTCATTCTAATTACTTGGTGAGATCTAGATATCAGTATAGAAACATAGCTTATTTATTTTGTTGATTTTTACATCTAAGATTTTCAGTCTTTCCGTGCCTGGTAAATTTTTGTGAAATAAAAATCTTAAGAGGGGTTTTTTTGGATCCAGGTTAATGGCAAATCACTAGTCCTTGATGAAATAATTAATTATATCCAGTCTTTGCAACGTCAAGTTGAGGTATCTCTCTCTCTCTCTCTCACACACACACACACACATATAGAAATGATTTAATGAGTACTGGTGCTTCGTATAAGATGAGCACCGGTACTCATTAGATCGTTTCTCTCTCTCTCTCTCTATATATATATGTGTGTGTGTGTGTGTGTGTATTTATTTGTGAGATAACAATTATGGATGTTTTATCTCTCAGTTTCTCTCCATGAAGCTTGAAGCAGTAAATGAAAGAGTGAACCCTGGCATCGAAGGATTTCCTTTGAAAGAAGTAAGTTCTAGAAACATGATTGTCACTTTCTCAAATTTCATTTAATTTTGGTTACTTTGAATTTCAGTCAGTAATAACACCAGCAAAATCCGTTAAGGGTGAGGGTTATATTTAAGTCGAGAAGATTGTTTCTCCATGGTTAGGTTTTCCTAATGCCATTCATCATCATTATTAATTTATTATAACTTATTCAGCGTGAAACTAGTCAACTGCAGACGAGTAGTTGGACGAGGCCATGGATTATTTGAAATTCCCAACTTTTCTTGGAACAAAAATGTTCAACTGATACGGCATCATTTTCTAGGATTAACTGTAGCTTCATTTTTCCCAGAATAGCAGAAGAGAGCTCAAATAGAGCTCAAATAGAGGCGAAATTCAGATCATAGAATGGAGAACCTTAAAAGGAAATATAGAAAAGGGATGCTGTATTTTTGATAAAATTTCTTTATGTACACTTCAAGTTTACCACCGGTTAATGCTGAAATGTGTTTCGATTTTTCAGTTTGCTCAGCACGCCTTTGATTCTCTGGGCATGACATTTGGTTCACAAACTCAGAGGGAATAGGATAGGGGTGCATCGCCAGAATGGTTACATATGCAGATTGGCGGCTGGTTTGAAAGAGCATCATGAGTTAATAAATTCTAATTAATTTCCAATATAAGCATTGAGAACGCTAAATATGTTCCTTCATTCACTGCATAATTATACTCATTTCTTAAATCAGAAATATATCGTATTTCCATTTTTATCTGGTTTTTGCTTTTGTATCGGAACATTCTCCCTTTCCGTATGAAAAAATGGATACATATTGTAACGTGCTTCATTTTCTTTGTCCGGTATGGAAAAATAATTCCTCCGTGGTTTGTTTGGTAGGGTTGAGTGTACAATAATGGATAATTTTAAATAATAAAAAGAAAGATAAAATCTTTTTTATAGTACTGTCTTGGTATTTTATTCAAATTATGACCTTGGTGAATTATTTATTATTTTTTAGGCTATAAGGTTGTGCATCTTTGTCAATTTCAGTACATTTTTGCAATTGGAAGCTTTGAGAAAGCTGATGCTTTTGTGTCACATATTTGAGTAACTACATCGAATTGATTATTATTTTGTTAATAGTTGTAACTCGGAAGTGAATTTTTTTAACCATGCTAAAGCATGCAAGTTCTTTGATTAGTAATTCTCCAACACTCTAATCAGGGTATTTATTTATTTATTTTTAATGAATTAAGTCTACATGAATCTTTACTTCTTCTGTGCCTATATTTGGGTCTCTCATTTTATGATGGAAGCCTCCTTATTTGGTATAAGCAGCATTCGTCTATGTTGTAGCGGACCTCTTAATTTATTATCCCATGAATTAAATTGCATTACGATTCCATTGAGCAATGAATTAGGGGTTTCTCT